CTTACAACACTAAAATCCGGGTTCAATTCCCTGCGATGTACAGAGTGCAGGTAACTCATTACATAGCTTAGCACTAAGAAACCAATTACAACAAATTTTCCTCCATAACCTTCATCATCTACATATTTAGGGGATAACAAACTTGATGAATATTTAAGTTCGAATAGTTAAAAAATAGAATGTTGTAAACTAGCTTCACATTTCAAGTGGTCGACATATAGTAAAAAAAAAGCTCTCCACTTTGAAATATAATCGAGAGTAAATATCCTAACAAAATATTTTACTGGTAGAATAATAAAATATAATATTCTTTGCAGAAAAGTGCATTTGATGAAGATAGTGTTTCATGATTGCATGTGAATCTTACCTGCTGGTATGATGGTATAGTTGCAAGGCTCTTTTTGTGCACCAATTTCATTCTTTCCCCAACAACTTAATATTCCGTAACCGTATCTTGTTCTTGGCTTGTATGTAGCTTCACTGATTGTTCCATTTGTTGTGAAAGAATGAAGCTCGATACGTTCAAATGTATTGTTCAAAGACCAATGAAAAGTAACATCTTCTGGATCTGCTAGAACTTCGCACCTGATAATCACAGACTCTATCCTAGCAACGCCGTAAACGATTTTCTGGCCAGGCTTACAAACAGGAGCGTCTATGATTAAGATATAATTTAAAATAAACGTGCATCGTATAGGCTCATATTTTACATTCAACATTCTAGAGTGTCTATAAATCTATTCATTATCTTTATTTCACTTAGTTTTACTCTTAAATCTAAAATCTGGTTTACCTAGAGATCATTAACAAATTTCTTAAAGTATAATTTGTGACTCTAAACTATTTACATAAATATCGCTGAAGAAACAACATAAGATATAATACAGAAGAATGTGACAGTTTACGAATGAGTGAGATAATGAAAAACAAAAAGGAAATGTGATTTTAACCCAAATTACTCACAGTGTACCCTCAGTATTATTTCTTCACTCTCTACTTCTCCCTCTACATTGGCTGCGACACACTGATAACGCCCTCGTCTTTCTCGAGTAACTTTCTGTAATACCAAAGTCTGGTTACTGATGATGATACCCTCTTTTGTCTTGCTGAAGAATGGCTTGCCTTCAAACCTCCACCCAACTTCCGATACCCAGGGATTAGCTTGAATGTTACAATCGAAGTAGACATCGCTTCCTTCTTTAATAGTATCGTGCTGTATATTTGCTCCTAACGAAAGTCTCAGCTTTGGTAGATCTTAAACAGATGTAAGACGTCAGTTATCAAGAAAATGTGAATTGTATACGGAGCTATTCGTATGTGATTATAGCACGTAGTAGAACAGCTTGATAAGTTGATCGAAAAATGAATAACATTCGGTACTGGGTGTAAACTGTCTTTATTAAAACAAATGTTGTACGAGTCATATTATTAAATATATATTATATTATGTATATAACTTCTTAATACATTACCAAACTGATATTAGTTTGAAATTTAATAATGAATGCAATTAGAAGACAAAATATTTTGTTTAAAGAAGTAAAAGTTTTTACATTGTTAATTTTCTATAAAATTATTAAATATTTATATGATAAAAACACTGAGTAGTGTCGTTTGAGCACATTTAAAGATGTCTATCAAATTCCTGGTAAACTAATTAGTTAAGAAAACAAAGTATTTTTTGAATGTTATGCGGAATGTATATCACTGTAATAAAATGAATATATTTAACAACCAGTGTTAAATTTACTGAACTATAGAAATACTTGATTTGTTTAAAAAAAAAAGCTTTATGTTTCTCTACTGGCATGTAAAGAAATCGTTTGAATGTTATCAAGAGTCTCAGAAGGTTTTCTCGCAAGATAGGATGATAGCTGAATTGATCGTAAAACACCAAAAACGACTCTTAAAATTTGAATTTTACAGTAAATGTAAAATTTGATATCCACTGGTTTCAAAACCTCGTAATGTCAGAAAGAGATTTCATTGCTTGAAAAGTCGAGCCAATTTCCTGAAAGTGATGAATTACTAGTTTAAAGTTATAATCTGATTTTTAGCGCACAATGTTGGATAATTTTTCAGTCGATGTTATTAGATTGGGAAATGAGAATTAAGAGATGATTTCTTTAAAGCTATATCTTGATGATCTTTTTTTTTATATTTTGAAGGGTAAGAAAAACTTCTTATAACATGCTGAAATGTAATTAGAATTGTTTAGGATATTCATATCAACTTAGACTAGGTTCCGAAAAATAAACATGCTTGCACATATATATGGGGGGGGGGGGTTAGCATAAAATGTTGCTCTATGGTTTGTTTCGTATTTCGCGCAAAGTTATACGAGGGCTATCTGCGCTAGCCGTCCCTAATTTAACAGTGAAAGACTAGAGGGAAGGCAGCTAGTCATCACCACCCACCGACAACCATTGAGCTATTCTTTTATTAACGAATGAAACGGGTGAAAGGGCAAGCATGTTTAGTGGGACGGGGCTTCGAACCCGCGGCCCTCAGATTGCGAGTAAAGTTCCCTAACCACCTGACCATGCGAGCCATTCGATTTCTGAAACGAAGATCTATACCGATAGGCTTGTATGTAAACGAACTATGAAAAGTATTCTCTATTTTGATATTTTTAATGCTTTAATCATTAGAAAATAATAATGTGGTTTGTTTATATCTCAATATTGCATTTGAAAAGCACAGACAAATATGAAAATAGAAATATATATTTCAAGTTTTGAAATTTTTTGTGAAAGTTTTTTAAGTATGAAAAGTGATTTCGAGCTATTATTAGTTTCAATTTTTTAAGACATCTGTGATACTGTTAAATTGAAGAGACTTCCTAAATAATGTTGAGCTTATATTTTCAATATATTTCAATAGTTCAAGCATCAAGTGAAGATGGAGAATGCAAATTGATTGCAATGTTAATTCTACTTATTTGTTTTGTGATAAACATGAGAATCTAGTTATCAATGCTGGATTTCCGTCATAGTCGCATAGTTTTTCCCTTAAGTTAAAGATCGAAAATCTGACTTTTCCATATTAAGTATAATTTTCAGATGAACAGGAAACAGGAAAATACACAAACACACAAATTATTACTTTTGTAGAATAATAACAAACAAAATAGTTTTACTATACTTTAAGATCAGTCTTACAAAATATAGTAAGTGTCCAGCCGTCTTCCAAGGCACTGTTTGGAATCATAGGGTTATCTGCTTGGCATGATAAATGTTTCCCGTGATCTTCTATCGTGGGTAAAAAGGTAATCTTGCTAACAGTCACATTGTCATTTCTCGGGACTGTTGTTTTGGATATTCTCTCAGTTCCTTTCCACCATAAGATTCGGGCAGGGGGTCTAGAGCCACTTGACTGGCATACAACCTCTACTTGTCGTCCTGCTGAGAGGGGTCGTTTAAGTGTTGAAATTCTGACATCCAGGGGCTTTACTGGTATTATTCATAAAAGAAAACTATGATTAAGATTTAATGCCACAGTAAGGTATACATTAATTTACTCTTTTAATCAAATTTGATTTTAAATACGATAATAGCTGCGAAACATATTCAATATTATGTAATAAAAAAAAAAAGAAAATTGTTGTATATAAGCAATACTTAAGGGATGAAATACGATTTTAGACCAAGTTGTTTTCATTCATTGGAAAATGTCTTAAAATGTGTAATATAAGAAAGTTCGTAGTTACGAAAGAAAAGACAAAAAATTCAGCTCAAGCCATGATTCCTATGTTTATTTTGTATAAGTACTGCCATTTCATGCAACATGTTATCAACATACTGTACTACATTACAGGCTTAGAGAGATATGTTAGAAAAGCCACACATAAACTTCTAACGCCAGAGCAGGCCTTTGTGGAGCTTTCCGAAGAAAGTATATTTATATATTCAGACTACTGGCCTTTAACCTTGTGTATAATTCGATCTACATGAATATTTTAGGAAACAGCGAGTCAAAGAAATAACCTATATGATGTTCAGGGAAGGTACGTTTCTGTACATAGGCAATACATGTTAAGAAAATTAGTGCACAATTTACAATGTGTGTTTTATGTCGTACTGCTCGTAAGTTACTTAAATCGTAAAAGATGAAATAGCGGTATTAAAATAAAGTAGGTGTTGTTTTGGATTCAAAATACGGTTTTGTGATTCCAGAATCATTTTATAAGAAATCTTAGCAAGTATACTGAGCTATAATAAACTGAAATGTATAGGAACAGTCAGAAATATAAGCTCTTGACATCATATGTTAGAACTAACGCCTAATTGAATCCAAATGATTAGAAATGAAGAGTACAGAGATGAGATAGGGCGCAAAGGAACTTAATGCACTATTTAAAACGTACAATTGGAGCTTAGTGGCTTCTCATATTTGTTTTATACGCTTTTGTATAGCACAGATTTATTGAAGCGAAGCATTAATCCCTAATCCATAGAGAAACATTTAATCTTGCGCAAATATTACTTGTCAGTATGTACTTAACCATTACTTAGGCACGTACATATGAACTAAATCGCTCAAACAACATCTATACTATACATTCACGCGCGCGTGTATGTGTGTTTTAGATATTTATGGTTACACTAACTTAGTTAAGCATTATGTATTATTAGTATACATGAACTGCAGAAATATGGATTACACTCGCATTCCATTTCGCATGTCATCCTAAATTAAGCACGCTTCCAATTATGCAGTGTTATTAACGTTTATCACCGTATCTTTGGTAATGTGATGCCTAAATCGAAAATTTAATGAGTTTGAAAGAAATATTTCAAAGCCGTGTTGGTGTGCGATTTCAACATAATCAAGCATACTTTTTATAGCAGCAGGTTAAATGAACTGTGTAAGGCTAAAGAATGCGATATACTTGTCTTAGTTTGTCTCTCGTGCCTGTTTTATAATAGTGGAAAATTTAATATATATCACTGTACGATTACATTCCAATTGCAATTAGAAGAGATCCGTGTTTACTGCGATATATAATTAGGATTATATTTCAACTCTTAAAATCATCTGGTATCTAAAAATATAAAAAACTAAATATTTCGAGGTATTCGCTTTGTATCATTTACGATTATTAATGTTTTAAACTTTCAAGATATTCAATCAACATTTTCTAAACAAAATAATTATTGTGCAAAACAACGAAAATAGTTTACGAATACTTTTCTTTTGAAAATACTTTTTTTTTTACTTTTTGATCATTATGATATTCCTTATATATATATTTAGTTGTCCTTTTGACTAAATCCAAATAATTCAAAGTTCACAATTAATTTTTTTTCGTTGTTTAGCTCCAATTCAGAAATACCTTAGAAAAAACTATTGCTCTCCTTGTATCTTAAACTAATGATGCTGAAGACGTTATTTGAAATTGAAACAGTAATCGATTTCGGTGATGGACGTTGCCTTTAAAGTCAGAACCTAAAGAACTGGTTGTTGGGGATCTCTAGAAATACTTCAGAAGACATCAAAAGCAATTGTATTGAGCCTAGTTGAAACTCAATGAGAAAAGTATACTTCACAAATCAGGAGTGTCAAGAAAGAGCTTGCCTGCTGAATGAGCTGAGATTACTTAGGACAATAGTAATGGTTATAATCAATTATAAAACTTTTCTTGAACTACACTGAGATACACTTTATTAGACAAATACACAAATATTTTTTCAATGAATGATACCGCCAGATTCGTACAGTTTTTTGTACTTGAATTACAATAAATGGGGACAAGTACGTGACATTTAATGCAAAAGCGCAACTGAAGTTTCAACTCTGACTAGAAAATTGGCTTATCATTTCCTCTTTGTAATCAGAAAAATACACCATCATTTGCTGCTTAAATGATGCTTTCATCTTTGTTATCTTATTAACAAGAGAAGCGTTAATATAAATGTTTATATTTATTTGTACAAGGTGCAAGTGACATTCTTAAAACACCACTGTAGATAATAAAAGATGCTTAATGCTTCTACATTTCGTAGAATATTAAAGCTGTTGGTCGAAATGTTAAAACATGTTCTATCTTTATCTTTCTATCTTCGAAAATATTATTGAATTTTACTGTTATCTTTATATCGCATTTTCTCATAAATTATTCTGCATTACGGAAAAGCCATATGTATCTCAGATTTCTGATATTTACAAGAGAATAGTAAAACATTTACGTAGCTTCTACAATACTGCAAAAAAGAACGAATAAATCTCTTGAAACAAATAATTTTCATATTATAAAACGTCCCTTTCTTTAATAAGCAGGTTTAAACGCTATAGTTTAATGTAGTCAATATAATGCATAAAATTATATTTTCCTACACCTTGGAGTGATAGTACTCACGGTTTAAATCCAGTGTTACTGATCTGGACACCGGTACATTAAAGTCGGAGTTAGACGCTTGGCACGTCAACACTGACATCAAGTGATCTCTCTGGAGACGTTTGATTAACAGCTCATTCCGAACAATTCCTCTTGGGGTCAGGTTGTAATCATCGTCCAGCAGGGCTGAGTCTCTCCACCACGTGACAGCTGGAGTTGGGTCTCCTACATCACAGAAAAAAAAATCCTGTATTGTGAACTTTATAGCTGGTTTGCTATTTCATAATATAATTAAAAACTTTTACTTTGCAACTCAAAACTATATATTCATTTTCATAATCTTGTTCATGGGAAGAGTTCTGTAGCATTGCAACATAAATGTGTGTGTAATAACTCCTTATAGCTGATTCTAAGTAAATATTTACTTTTGTTAGTGGTATAAAACATAATCAAATATTTAAATTTACAAATTACTGGTCATATTGAATGAAATAAAATATTCATTTTAGTATTGTTGAATACATAACTTTGTGCTGCAAATGCACAAAAACTATTGAAAAACTACTAATGAGAAAAATAGACTGTTTTGGTTAAATACTTCAGTTATGGTGCCGAAATTAAAACATCAGCTCAGATTCACAAGGCTTCAAAGCGTGAGACGATAACATATTGATCTAATCTAACTCGTTAGAAATCCGCCATCTGGACCGCTTTGCTTTAGTTGACGTGCTTACTGGAACTTAAAAAAATAACATGAAAGTATTTATAATTTTTTTTGTATATTTACAGGTACATAGATAACTAGACTGAAAATAATTTAAAAAAGAAAAATCAGTATATATATACCCCAAAATGTTTAAAAATAATGTTACTAGTTTTGTCTGTTAGATTTAATAACAATTATGATATATAACTTAATAGGAACTTAAAATGTCATTTCAAACTAAAATTATATTGAATAGGGGTACTTATTTTTAGCAAATGAGTTAAGCAAAACGTGATTGCAGTATTTAACTATTTGGCTAAATAATAAGTAAATAAAATTTGAAGCTTTTTAAATCGTTATGATTAAATTACTTACCATTCTCAAACCTTTCAGTTCGTCTGTTTAATGTAATTTGTCATTTGCCATTTTGATATTATATTGGACACACAAAATAAGCTTTCAATATACGTTTTCCATATAATTCGATGTTTATTTTATTAACTGGTGCTTTACACATTTCCAGACCTGTATATGATTAAGCTAATACATAAAGTTGTATGTTATTAATATTTTAAGGAAGAGCAATGTGCGTGAAAGAAATACAGGGTTATCTTACAAGCGCTTAGTTTATTAACTTTTATTTTTTATTGCAATTTTCACCACATGTAAAGTAAAATTTATAGCTTATGTATTACTTAGATAAACCTACTTTTTTGCACATAAATTGAAAATTATATGTCATTAGAATTATTGTATTGTGTAAAGAATTTGTTATTATATATTTATTTTAATATCAACGTTTGTTTAGATGAAGTTTA